TACAGAATTGTTATCAGAAATATGAGATCTATAGGAAGAGAGCCTAATTACTGTGGATTTCTTCAGCTTGGAAGAAGAAACTACCCAGACATGATTTGACAGAAGTTTGTAGCATCACAAACAGGAAATGGTGAATAAGAAATGATGATTTATCAATTCTTCTAGCATAAGAACAAAAGAGCAACTTACCATGCAACTGGCACAAAATGAGTCCAGGAAAATGTGGGAATTTTTTTTGTTTGAATGTTTTTATTTATTAAAAAAGTTATTAGTGCTTTACTAGCAGGTGTTATGAAACAAAAAATTAAGTGGTTTTAGAAAGGGGTTAGTTGAATCTCTAAAGGCCAGAGCCATGAAGCCTGTGTTATCTACAACAGTTTAGATGTAACCTCCAACTCAGGAAGGCTCTGGGCGAGCTATCAGGTAAATATATCAGTTAAGGATTTTATTATTTACTGTATACTTTTCCATGTTTACTACAACCTGGCTTTAAGCATCCACTGCAAATATTGGCAGACAGAATACTGGGCAAGGTGGAATGACTGTTTAGACCCAATGTGTTAGTCTTATGTTCCTATATGACAGTCTCTGCTGTAACCAGAGGGGAAAAAAAGGGTGTCTTCAGATGCTGAAACAGCATCTGTTTGAATCTTCAGCAAATGAAATAAACTCAAAAATATGCATCAACATCCCATGTACATCTGAATGCAGCAGAAGGAAAAACAGCTTAGAAGTACATTGCAAGACTACAGCAGGTGCAAAAGTAGTCTCAAAAGTTTGCAATGTATGTACACATTGTCAGCAAAGAGCTGGAACATTTTTAAAAAGAGAATAGGAAAAGTCATCCATTTCAGATAGCTTTACTTCTACTTTTCTAGACAAACAAATTAGCCTTCAACAAGGACCACATGCTCCTCTGCCAACAAACTGGAAAGGACACATGCAAAGAAGTCTGGGTCCACCCACCTAATGCCATGGTGAAACATCTATTGTGTAATATGAGGAGTTGTTATGACAAAGGTTGAAGAATACAGAATCCTGACAGCCACTTGGAAAGACTTAAAAAGGGCCAAAACAGGCATGAAGTAATTGTGCGACTTATTCTCCGTGTACACAACATGATATATGGCCTTTCTTTTGGTGGAAAGTTCAGCTCTGCAGTGAGAGCAGAGGGAGCATGTAGGGAGTAAGGAGAAGAGGCAGAGATCTTTCATTGGAATTACACGGGAATAAGATTGTGTGCAAAAATGTGTTTGACTGAATTAACAAGAAACTACCCAGGGACTGGCGGGATGGGTTAGGTTTGTTTTCCACTACCCTGCAGAGATACAAGATTCTCAGAAATTCTCCAGCTATTGTTCCTTGAGGCCTTGGAGGGCTTTCCACTTCAGGCTTCCTTTCTAGGAAATCATTCAGCCTCATTTTCCTTCCTTACACAAAAGAAAACCCCCAGGCTAGCAGAAACAGAATAACAGACTAGTTCATTGTGGACCTTAATTAGAACTGTTGAGGTCACAATATACTTAATACCCTAATCTCATGCAAAGTCAGGTAATATATTTCTGGCTGAGGAAGATTATGATAGGGAAATAATAAACTGATTGCTTCAGAGCAACAAAGAGAAAAATGCCTACTGTTAAAACACAGGCAAAAACTTTGATATTTGAGCATACAGTAAGGGAAGGGTTGCAATGATTTCATAATCATATATTCAGTATAAATAGAGAGTTGTAAAATGTGATGTACTGTATTAGTTGAGATGCCTACCTCTCCTTTTTGACCACGTAGGAAACACTGGTGAATAATCACTCAGATACACAGGCTCAGGGACTGGAAGTACTTAGTGGGAAGCCCTACAGAGAGGACAATGTCATAATTGGCTCCTAAATCATCAGAATTATGATTCCTTTCCTGCATATCAGTACCTAGCACTGGGAGAGATAGCAGCAACTTCCTTTTGCACCATGACTTTGTGACACAAGCTAGTGATTAAGAAGTTGAAGATCTAGAAGTTACAACAGCTTCTAAGTCTTGAATCACCAGGCTGCAGGATTGTAAAATGCTTTCTACCACCCCCACTGCAGCTGGACCTCATGCAGAAGATAATGGAAGATTCATAGGACCAGCAACAGGTGAAGTTTATGGAAGCTTTGTTTCTGTGACCCAGTAAGAAATGCATTCCTCTGGCACAGCAGAGATGCAGGTTGTGAGCCCTGTTTCCAATGTTCATTACATAATTTTTTTAATTATACTTAGGATGATATTGAACAATGAGTCCTTAGAGTAGAAACTCATTTTGCCCTAAAACAATCATTATAGTTGCAAAAGAAAACCACTGTTCAGCTCCCCTAGCCTGACAATGGCATGTTAGTCTGCAAGTTCCAGGCTCCTGAAGTGATCTTCAGATCATATTATCTGCTCTGTGGAGTCATATCAAATGTTCTCGTATCTATAAATCCCATCTCCAAATGCAGTCTCTGCAAGTGCCCAGTGAAGTGCAGAAGGGTAGGAGGAACAGATAGCTGTTAGAGTACTGATCACAATGCAAATGGGCTTCATTGAAAAGTCACTGAGCTGAAAAAATTTCTTCCACTCACTGCTCTTCTTGGTTATTAAAACCACAGCAATTCAAGGCCAAGCAAGGAGATGCATACCTAAGATGTGAATCCAGATACCAGATTTGCATATGAGCACACGAGTGAACAGTGTGCTGCAGCTGTAAAGAAAGCCAACAGGATGCCGGGTTGCATTAAAAGGGTCATCACCAGCAGAGCTAAAGAAGTCATTATCCCTCTCTACTCAGCACTGGTCAGACCACACCTTGAGTACTGTGTCCAATGTTGGTCCCCACTATACAAAAAAAATGTGGACAGGTTGGAAGGGGTCCGGAGAAGGGCCACGAGGATGATCAGAGGACTGGAAGACCTGCCATATTAAGAAAGGCTGAGAAAACTGGACCTGCTCAGCCCTGGGAAGAGAAGGCTTAGGGGACACCTTATCACCATGTACCAGTACATAAAGGGTGGGTACCAAGAAGAAGGAGAATTCCTTTTCACAAGGAGTCACATGGAAAAGATGAGGGGTAATGAACACAAGTTGCTTCTGGAGAGATTCCGCCTGAACTCCAGAAAAATTATTTTTACCATGAGATAATCAGACATTGGAATAATACCCCAGGGGAAGTGGTAAATTCCCCTACACTTGTCAGTTTTAAGAGTCAGCTTGACAGGATGCTGACTCATCTCATTTAAACTATACTTTTACCTTGAGAGGTTGGACTAGATGATCCTTGTGTTCTCTTCCAACCTGGTATTCTATGATTCTATGACATGAATTCAAACATCTCCTTTTAGTACATGCTTAGACAGAACACAATCATACAGCCTGGAAGAAATTGTTTGTGTTATTCATAAAAGGCCAAAGAAGAGACTTAACAAAAATTCCATTGATTAGGAAAGGACTAAATTGAAAATTTCTTCACCAATATTCTCTATCAGAGACTGTAACTTCTTGCCTTTTGCTCTCAAGAACACCAAAATGAATTTGCACACCTCTCAGATTCAAAATAGTATTTATAAGGTTTTAAATTCTGAAAAAATAATGCGTTTCACTGCAATTTCTGAATCAGCATCATTCCATTAACCCAGCAGGAGGAATCAGCTGGCACAAACACAAAGCTCCTTCTCATTATCTCTGTCAAATAATATAGCAAAGTCAGGAGAAAACATCTGACCTCACAGGTGACATAGCTGAACCTACAGAATTTTTTTATCAGACCAGCTAATAGTAATGTTATTGTAACCACAATGCTCTTAACATGTGAAAGGAAAGACTTACAGGAAGAAGAACCTTTTTTATTAGTACAAATTTTATATTTGAAAAAAAGAAATATGTTTGTTTGTTTGTTTGTTTAATAAAAGCCCAAGCCCACTTTCAGGTCTGAAACCAAAGCCTTTTACTGATAACAGAGTAACAGCTCTGAACAAATGCTCTTATCTTGCACCACTTTCTTCACAGCAGAACTGGGAAAAATGGCTCTTCTTTCTCAACATAACTTGTTACTCAGGAAAAAAAAAACAACAAATGACAATAAATTACATAGCTAAGATTAATTATAACATACATAACCAGCCAATGAATTTAAAAGAAAATCCCATAGTACTTTAGCAGTTAGAAATAGAAAAACCCCAGCAGATACAGGCTTGTGCACCTTCACAACATTTCTTGCCTGTCATTTTCTGTTACTTGTCCCACTCCCTTCCTCTCATTGCACCTTATGAATCCTTGGATTTTCTTTCAGCAATGTATCTTCTTCCCCATAGTTCTCTACAGTATACTTTATGTATACCAGTAATGTTTCCTTCTTACGCTTAGAATGCACTGTGATACACTGCACCTTAACATTCAGAAAACTTTCCTGGACTTCAACAATTTTTTCTCATTTTTATTTATCCTTCTATTACTGTCTGGGTTTTTTTCACCTTATACAATACTGTTTTCATGACAGTCATGGAAAGGTAGAGATATGAAAGCTCCTTGGTGACTCTTGGATCTATTTTACACACACACAGAAGTTCAACAAAATTGCTCTTAAGTATGTAAGGTTTCTTTCCAAGGTTTCCAAGCCTGTCTTCTTCTGATAGCATTTCATGCTGTTAAGTCTGCATTTCCTGCCACGAGTTTTGCTTCAGGCAATCTGGTAATATTGCAAGATGACTGCAATCTGTCATAGGATCATGAGGAAGCTAAACTGTTCATTGTGGATGAGCCAGAAAGTCTGAAGAACATGAAAGGGCAATATTTGGATTGTCTTTCATGCCAAATCAGTGAAGGCCATTGAGAAGGATATTGACCTTCTGAAGGAGTCTTTCAACACGTTGGACTGCAAGCTGAAAAAGGGAACTGACATTTATTTATCCCTAGGTTTGAGGGTTCATTTTCATCAGGTAGTTGCAACTTTCATTTACCCGTAACTTTGGTATTCATCAGTATTTGCCCATTTAACAGATTTCTGTGATCCTCAAAGATTGCTGCCAGGAAAAGTAATCATCAGATTTCAGGTTTTTGAAAAGCTGAATAGCCTGCATTTTTGATACATCCTTCTCCTTGCCAGTGATGGATTCATCATCAGATATAGGCTTCCCAGATGATGTCTTGCCTTCAGAAGGCTTATTGCCTTGGTCATCTTCCTGACTAATATCCATCTTCACACTTGATTTTAGGCTGTGGAAGCAATAGTCACCAACCTGGCAAAGGAAAACTGGCTCAGTGCTGTCAGGGTTTAGCACCACCAAGTTACCCTCTGAAAAAGGCTGCTTTCTAGGAAGATCATTTCCCTTCTGTAAGACAGGCAAAGAAATCTTTGTGGGTTCTGAATGTCCATGGAGACCTAAAGGGACAGTAAGATAGTCTCCAAATGTATCCAGGTGCAATTCAGAAGAGGTTGGTGCTTGACCTGAAATTGGGACCATGACACCAGTTTTCTCAGGAGAAAACTCATGGCAAGAGTGGTCACTGTGGGGCTGGGACTCCTGTGAGTCACCAGGTAACTCCCCAACAGCAGTAAGTGGCGTACGGGTGGAGTCGCTGGCTGATGGCAGTAACAGGCTCTCTGTTGCGATGTACTCCAAGGAGCAGTGCTGAAGAGGCATGGTACAGCTCAGAACCTTTGGAGACTTCTGCTCTTCTGTCCTCACATCTGTGCCTTTCCCACAGGCTGGTGGGGCTGGCGAGACTTCTTTCTTATTGTCGAGTTGCTGTACTGTTTCCTTCTTTTCTGGGAGCAGAAAGGGCTGTGGAGGACCTGCTCCTGGCTGTTCTTGCCTCTGTGGAGCCAGGAGACAGTCTTCCTTTGGGAGGGTCACATACTGAAGGGAAACTGATTTCTCCCGGACTCCCACTGAGTCCACTTCCAGAGTCTGATGCGTATCAGGCTGGGAGGACATCATGGAGCTGTACAAGTACGGACCATTGAAAGCAAAGCAAATCTGGGAAGCGGTACTTGCAGCAGTACTGCTTCTTCTTGAAACAGGGAAGGAATGACTGGAAATTTGACTTGAACACAAAACCGGGGCTTGCTCTGGCTCATTTAAAGCATGGTATGAGTTCTGTAGGTCCAGTGCAACAGGGGAAACATCTGTCTTTTCAGCCTGCCCTTCAGGAGACTCTGTCAAAGTCTTTGTCTGCCTGAATGTGGGAAAGTTAAAAGTTGCTCATGAGAGTTATTATTGTGGCAAACTTTAAATACAAAACAAGCTTAGTTGAAAACACACATAGCTACACATACGGTTAGAAAAAAAAAAATCTTTCTTGGAGAAGCAGACTAATCCCCCCAGAAAAGTAACCCTTCCTCAAAAGCCACTTGTATAGGCTTTTTAGTGACAGAACATTTGATTATATCCTGGCATGACTTAGGGAGCTCTTTGAGAGTATTATCCACAGTGTAACTATAATGTGCTGTTTACTCACCTGTCCACAACTTGAAGGAAGCTAGCCCTCTCCATCTTGTCTGAAAGTTTGTATTTGTTGAAGTCTAGCTGGCTGTTTGTTGGCCAGTTTTCTAGAGGTGCTTTCTGAAAATGAAAAAGCAGACACGACAAAAGAGCAGTGTCTCACCAGCAGTAGAATCAAGAACCATATGTTCCTCATGGAGAAAGAAAACAAATAGGGGAGTCTACAGCATCTGGTAATAGATATACAACTTCAGTAATATAACTAGAACATGTGTTCCTTTCTCCAGAAGACCGTTACTTCAAACCTGTATTGCCTTACCACTGACGTAACTATAAGTACTCAGTGAGCCAACAAGAAATGATGCCCTCCTAGCCTTGTTATTTGTGAGTAGAGAAGGACTTGTGGGGCACATGATGGTAGGTGGCTCTCTTGGCCACAGGGATCATTAAATGACTGAGTTTATTAAATCAGCTACTCTTGCAAGACTGAAAGACTTTCACCACCAAAATCTAGACATCTCTATACCAACCTTTCCAGATATTGTTTTGGTGGTTTTTTTGTTTTTTTAAAGAGAGCAAGGTTCTACTTAAGCAGCTTTAATCAAGTGCTGTAATAACATTTATTTCAGAAATTCAAGCTCCTTAAAAAAGTTACTTTAATAGGGCTACCAACCCATTCTAAAAAGCTCTGTATTTATTTTGATTACTATTTGGAAATGGATGAAAGCAACAGCTGATTAAGTTTGCTAATGACACTAGGTTATTTCAGATAAAATTTTAAGTACTGAAAATCTTCTAGTTTGATATTAAATCACAGTGATGCTGACAAGAACAACACAAAGATGTCTACTAGTACAAATGTAAGAACACAGTTAATTTCAATATGACCCAAACTTCTCCTAAAAAAAAAAGCGTAGACAGGTATCTGCATAGAAAGATATCTGTTCATTGCGAACTAGGAGACAAGAAGAGCTGTTAAGATTATTGGAAGTCCTGACAAACAGAGAGAAATAATGAAGGTAGAGTTCCCTCTTACCCCCAGGTAGCTCTGGATCAGGAGACTCTTGCTGGGGTTTGGAATCTTTTCCTCCCACATTTGCTTCTTCCTACAACAACAACACAGTTTTCAAGATTTGCTTCTCAACGTGGCTGCAACCAGAGAAAAGTACACCTCTGCACAGCGAGACACCACCAAGGCCCTGGCACGCCACCACTCAGCTCTCACCCTTGCACAGACATGCACAGGGCTGCCCATTGCACACTAAGGACAATCTTCATATAGACTGCTCTCTCATGGGGAACAAGAAGTGCCTCAGCCTTTATGCCACTCACATGGCCAACACACTGACAAGTCTCCTAGCCACAACACAAACCTACCTGAGGAAATACCTGTAGCTGCAATAAGCAACTATTAGCAAAGTGATGATGAGAGCTGGGATCATCACTGGGAGAACCACTGGTGACAGAACTGAAACAAAGGACAGAGAAATAGGTATCCATGAGCTAGCTTATGGCTGTACCTCAAGGCAACCACAGAATCACAGAATATTAGGAGTTGGAAGGGACCTCAAAAGATCATCCAGTCCAACCCCCCTGCCAGAGCAGGATCACCTAGACTAGGTCACACAGGAACGCGTCTGTCACACAGGAACCCCAGCTGAGAGAATGTATCTTTCTACAGAGGCACTTCAGCCATTAACACACCACAAAACCCTACAGAAACAGCCTGCATGTAAAGTACCATTCTCAGTCTTCCAGGCAAACTCCTCACTCCATTCGCTCCAAGGCCCCTCATACTCCTGAGGCGTATTCACCCTTGCACGCATTTTCCCCCTATATTCTGTAGATGATGCCAGCATCTGAAGGGTGAAGATGAAGGGAGGCTCATCATTGCTGATGTTTAACTGCTGGAGAGTCTGGGGAGAAAAAGGAAGCACAAATGACAGAGGTGAGAGGAACTGTCCCATTTGCCCAGCAAATACAAACACAGGACTTCTGCACTTTCTAAGACTTACCTTCTCATACTGGTTCTTTTTCCAGTATTTGACCTGGTATCTCTGTTTTATGAAGTCATATCTGAAAGTGTGTTTCATCCACCTCAGTT